TTTAGGATATTGGTGATCTTTTCGAAGAGGCTTTACTATCAGATAATCGATTGATCATTTTAGCAGCTATACTGGAGCAAAATATTTCATTAAAAATTACCTTAAATCTTTTAACAAAACTAATGCGACATGCTTCAGATCAAGTAATCATTTCGCAAATAATTTTATTTTTTGATAAAATAATTTAGTTTTAAGAATTTAAGATGATAAAACTTGCCGAGAAAATTAATGCTATTTAAATAAGTAATAAATGGCAAACGATAGATGGTGATATTTGCTGAATAATAATTCTAAATTTTAGGCATTTTTTAATAATATCATTGTTTCGCATTATCTGGGACGAAATGCGCCATTAGCAGAAATTGATATTGCTTTCATTGAAGAGTTGGAGCAACTTTTGGTAATGAACTTGTAATCTAAATATTTGAAAGTTTAAAATTGAGTGGAGAAAAGGAAAAGAATAAAGTCAAGAAATAAAAAGAAATGAAAGTAAAGTGTAAACAATTATGGAAAGTTATTTTAGATTTATTTATCGGGTGGTATTAAAAATTTATTGCCAGTATCATATTTTCATCAGCATATTTCAAATGAAAAGCAATGGCTTCAAATATTAGCAATATGGTCGGTGCTATTGAATCGTCTTGAATTAGCAAAATGTTTATGTGCATACTCTTTTGAGCCGATATCATTAGCAATAATTCTTGCACGAATATGTAATTCGCTTGCATTTCAGGTTTGATCATAATTGTTACAAATTTTTAGGAAAATATGTATTCGATAAATTATTGTAAAATTTTTCATCAATTTATGATTTAAAAATTTTTTTGAAAATAGATTTCAATAGTGATTTTAATTTAAAAGAGAAAAAAAACAAAATATTATTTTAGCAATCATTTTTTTCAATTAGAGTGATGAAGAATAATAATCTGACTAGTGTTACTATTCACTTATGCTAATATACTGCCGTTAATAGAAATGGAATTGTTTTTTGTTTAGAATTGAATTTCATTTTAGGTACACGATTATCTTTTGTATGAGAATGATTTGAGAAGAGCCGGAAGATGGTTTAGCACTCATGCAAGTGCAGTATTAAATGTTGCAAATATTGAATCACCGCAGGAAACATATCGCCTGTTATGTTTGCCATTGGAATCATGCAATGGGCTAACACTAACAGAACTTGCACTTCAGGTAGCACTTCATTTAATTTAATAGGTGAAATTTATTTTGATAGCTTGCTATTGGAGCTATTTAAAAATAGAATTTTCAGACAAACAATAAACAATTTGTGGCTCATCAATGTTGTCAAAAATGGATTTATCGACTTTTGTATGGAAAATTACAGGTATTAAAAAATATTCATTTTGATTTAATTCAAATTTTATTATTATGACGCACCACAAACGAAGTACATATGTTATTATGTATACAAAATTAGTTAAATTTGAATTACTATAATTAATCTTTTTACTTATTATTATGCTATATAGAATTTATAGGTTGTTTGCTTTAATGGTTCTATATTTCTGCCAGATTGGTTGAAAATTTTACTTGCATCAGTATTGATAATTCCAATTCACTGGTGGATACGATATCGTATACCGGAAGGTCAAAGTTCAACTATCAGTCCTACAATGGCATTTTTACAGTTTCATGGGCAAGAAAATACTTGCACTCATAGGTAATGAATGATATTTCAATTAAATTAACTTCAAGCATATTTCAAATATAAATTGTGCAAAAATACTGCATGAAAAAGAAACATGATGAAAATAAGATTGAAATAATCCAGTTAGAAATTTAGAAAACGTATTTTAAGTTATATTTCCAGTAAAAATATGCAATGTGAAATTATTATGCAAGCTATACGTGATGAACGTTCACCAGCTGAAACGTCAACAAGTTCCTGTCTTCTAATGGATGGTATTGTTTGCTAATTCATTTAGAATGATCTTGTAATGTGATAATGTTTTAAAAATTTAATAGATTAATTTTGCTGCAAAAAAACCAATTTCACTAATGAATGAAATTCATTTTAAGCTTTTCAAACAGTGGATATCGAAATTTATCTTTAGGTCATCATCAATCAGTTGATGATTTCATGTTGAGAGCATTTGATTCGGTTTCTCCGATATCGAAGATAAAACCGGAACAACGAGGAATGCAACAACGATTCACCACCTTATCTATAGGGACATTCTATTCCACACCAATCGTTAAATATTGGCTTTCACTTGTTTTTCGACTTTTTCATATTGTTTTATTCGCATATACGGTTAATTAAAAAAAATTTTTTTTTTCAAAAATATTTTCATCATTATCATTAAGAAGCGTACTTGTCTTTTTTTGCCGAACAGATGATAATGATATCTTATCTTTTGAGATTGCATATGAGTGATGATATCGTTTAGAATTACTTACAATGATTAGAGAGTTATATAGATGCGCAATGGAGTAATAATCATTACTTCTTTTTGGTTCAGCCCTACATGATTTAATAAATTTCAAAATTATTAATTGAAAGTCCTAGAATTAATAATCTTAGATATCATTACCTGGTTGTGGGTCATTTATTTTGGATACTTTAATATGGCTTTGGACATTTTTATCATTGATTGAATCAATTTGGGTATTCTCGAATCGTATTCAGCGAGCTCCTTTACGTCAGGTATGATATTAATCAAATTGAGATTATGATCAATATTTTAAATTGTCAAACTTTACGAGCTTATTGAATAGCTAAGTTAAGTTATACAAACGGTAATGTATTATTTCGTCATTGAATACTTAAATAATTATAAAAGGAATTGAATAGTTGAATAAATAAATTTTCAGCTTCGTTGGCGTTTTTTTGATATTATTGTAATAGCGTTGCATCTTCTAATTATACTCATCCTGAAAGTGCTTTCTTTAACAATCCCAATCAGTTCTATGGTTTGTTGTTAAATTTGTTCAAATTGATAATACTATACTTCCTGAACATTCGCGAATCTACTAATTGACGGTGAAAACTTTGACAGATATCCCTCTCATAACTTAACAACATTTTTCACTTGAATAAATTTATTTGAATTGCGGAATTGTCAAATGCAAAAGCGCCATCGATATCTTGAAAATAATGGTCAATGAGATTCGATAAAAATTGTAAGAAATTTTATTCAATTTTTTAATTCAGCCATTTCATACACCGTATGCTATTCGAATTTCGTCAGCGTTTTTATTACTTTATTTATGCTATTCAACATTATTTCATTTTGTTCCATTATCGCAAACATTTGGCGCATTTGTCGTACGGGTTAAACTTATGATTATCAGGGATTTTTTCAATTTTTTGATACTTATCGCTTTAGTTATTGGAAGGTTGGTAAATTTTTTGTATTTTAATAAATTTACTAAAGGTATTGATAATTTTACTTAGTATACAAAATAAGTTAGGGTAAGAATAGTAATGGGGTGAAATAAGTGATTAGTGGAATTTTTTATATTTTTTATGAAACAGATTATTAGTCGTTATATTTATTGAAATTATAACAACAATTGCTTTATCGTTTTAAAACAATTCAAAAATTTACAGCAGTGCAATAGCAGTTCGTTCATTATTGTATCCGGATCAACCTTTAACCTGGTTATTAATTTCAAAAGCATTTTCTTGGGCTTGGCTCTCATTATTTCAAATTCAGTATGGCGGTAATTCATTTCTTGTCCAGAAATAACAATGTAGTATTCATTTGCGCTTTAATTCAAATTACGTGTAATATTTGGTTTATCCGTCAATTAAAACTACATGATTTTAAAGCATTTAAAATACGACAGCGAAGAAAAACTTCGATAGCTTACTTCCAACTAAAAAATTAAGTATTTTAATGCTAAAGCTATAATTTAGATCTGATCCTAATTTTTAAATAAAACCAGAATATATTGTGAAGTTTTTCGAAAATTAGACAAATTTTTTTGTAGAGCTTCAAGAAACAAAATATTGTAAGAAGACATATCTTGGCGATTATCATAATCGTGATCGCTGTATAGCAATTGGCGGTTTTGGTGATTACAATTGTCCAACACAAAATTGGATTGGACATTTAGTAGTATTGGAGTATTTTATTGTTTTGAAACTAATCTGTTGGCCAATTCTTTTTGCGCTTTTTTCTAAAACAGCTAAAGAAGTAGACAGTGAAGCAGACGAAATTTGGAAATATCAACTTTATTCATTGATTGAAGATTTGAGGTAGATTAAATAATACCTTTCATTACTTTCAATGCAAATGCTCAACAATATTAATATTGATTGATATGTAATAATGATATACATATATTGAAAATTCTTGAAGCCTAAAAACTTTATGCCTATTTTTTAAAGGATATTTCTCAAAAAAAAAGATCTTTTGGTCAGATTCGCTGTTACATTTCATTTAATTCAAATTAAGATAGAAAACAGTCTGATTTTTAGATAGTTTAAAATAGATCAAAGTATCTCATTTTCATCTTTTTATTATTTTGATTTTAATTAAATTTCATTCTATATATCATGAAAGTCAGGTTTCGTCCACCATTACCGCCACCACTTACACCAATTTTCTTTTTTGGTGCCTCATGCTGTCGTGCATATGGTTGTTTTCATAATTCATGTCATATTAGTTCAAACATGATCAATTTGGATCATCCGGATATTGTTCGTAATCAACAACAAACTGCAAAACTATACAATACTACAAATCGATTTACTAATAATACAAACCGAAATATATTTTCAATTGGATGTACATTTTTGAATTCTCAATTCAGGGTAAAATTTCCACATTGATTTCCATCACTGTTTCATAGTTGGTTTGAAATAGCTCCAAAAAAAAAAAATGTCTATTTTGCTATTCATTTAACGCATATTTTTGACTTTTTCAAAAATTTTTCGATTTAGCACACAGCTGTTACCATCGTTTGTCGAGAATGAATCGTGATCTTGCTTCTATTTTTAGACAAAATCTATAAATCTATGGAATGAAACTGTGATCACATTGACAGATTCAGATGTCACTTTTAAATGTGACAATGAAAATCGTCAATTGCAAGAACAAATTCGACTCCTTACCGTATCACAGTATTTTTCGACAACTTCTAAAAGTATGATCATTTGTTAGGAATTTATTTTCTTTCAATTAACAAAACACAATAATGTCGCCGTATATTTTGGCCCTTTGTGATTTCTAATCGTGATTCGTGATTCCTATCCTTTCATGATTCCTATGCTTTCGTGATTCCTATGGACAGAGCTTTTTGACACCTAATCTTCTATCATGAAAATAACTTTGATTGAGTTGTTTTGTTTCATAAACAAAAACTGTTATGAATGTTTATTCTTTATGGTAATGGAATATGATGGATGTAACGAGGAAGATTTCTTGATTAGTGAGACTGAAATAATCGTTTCTAAAAAAAATTGGGTGGGAATTTAAAGGAATTAATTGAATGATAACTTCGATCAGTAAGCAATCAAGTAGCGGAAGAATGTTGACCGTGACAAAACTGATGCGAAAAGAGTGACAGCTGTATTATATGTATCCTTATTGGGCGGTACTAGTGGGATAGAGAATTTTGCACTCGAACAGAGGTCACAGTTCATTCGTAATCATTTGATAGCTGAAACGAATCGTCTACAGCAGTAGGTAAGGCCTGTGCAAAGTAGATAAAGCCTATGGTTAGCCATGCAGACATACAAAATAGGTAAGGCCTACGGTTAATCGTCCAGAAAAAGCCAGCAGTTAACTAATGATCATCTAATCTTTTGTACAATTAATTTATCATTCTCTCGGCTTTCGCCGACAAGCAGCTTTTTCTAACATCTAACTTCTATGAGGCACTAACTAACTTATTCTTCATGCTGTCCAGAAAGAAAAAAAATACTTATAGGCACAAATGATACCTGGAGTAATTCATCCGAAAGCATGCTATACGATCAGATAGCAAATATTCGAAAATTAGTAATTGCGGAAAAATATCGATCTCATCATATTTTGATATCTAATTATTGTCCACCATTTTATTGCAAATCTATTGATGATTTCCCAGTTGATCTACAGAAGTATGTTGATAATTCAACACCTGAGGTAAGTAACAATTTACTTGAAGAATTAAGTGCTAAATGTATATAGAGAAAATTGCTATTAATCAATCTTTCCCATAGGTCTTGCTTTTATTTTTTGTGGAATAATTTCTGTGAAATTTAGTAAAATTATTGTTTAAATTTCAGAATTTAATTTTGTTACGAAAATACTGGAAACGATGGCAACAAAATAAAATGCTGGAATTATTCACACTTTCATTACCGTTTACAGTTAATGCATCCGGTTTACCAATGAATCCAAATGGTCGGCAAGGTATTGCCGGACGTGGAAATCATCTGAAATTTGGTGCTAACTTATTGAGCGTTTACGTGTTAATACGAAGAATCAGTAATAATCATTTAATGGTATTCAATTTTAAACTTTTCTTTTATGTTCAATGATAGTTTGTATTTAAGTTACGAAAGAAATCATTCGTTTTAGCCATATAATCTTACCTGTATGATTGTTTCAATCTCTCAAATTACTGACTAATTAACAGATACAAGCTTTTAATTGAATTTTAGATTTTACTAGAAGGAAATACATTTCCAACTCGTTGGCGATTAAATAATGGACGTTATGACGAAGAACTTCAATTAATTCTACGAAATCATCAGTTCAGTGATTCGGATATTCATGTGAGTTAAATTAGAAATGAAAAACAAAAGAAAACAGACATTGCATTTTGATTGAGAAGAAATGTAAATTTTAGATTATTAGATATTTTGAAGGTTTTATTAATATCAAAAAAAAAATTATATTCTATTATCAAAAATTTAATAACTTTTGTGAATAAAACTAATCAAAATGACCAAAAATGGCACAAAAAAATCGTTTTTAAATTATTGTTGAAAATGTACAAATATTTATTTTTATATAATTAAAAAAGAAAGAGAGAGAGAGGTAAATATGAAATATTCATTTTTGTATTCTTATCAATTGCAGAATATAAGCAATGTTTTTTTTTCAAAATTGAATTATTTACGACAATTTTTTTTTTGTTTTTCGGTGAAAAACTTTTGCTCATATGAAATAAGCTAATTTGCTTTTTTAGCTTCTCAGAGTTTTCACAAAAATTGGCATTCAGTTCTGAATTTTTCGCAAACTTCAAACTTGAGCTCGATTCTTATATTTTTGACATAAAACACTGACTCTTGGTAAATAAATCGATATATTAATTAGAAGGAATGACATCAATTTAAAAATACACCGTCTTTTTTAAAGTGACGTTATTCTTGCTAAAAAGAAGAATTTCCAAGCCTCATATGACATAACAAAAATGAGCCATTTAATTGACTGCTAGATTTTTATAGAAAATTTAAGTAACTTGAAACATTTAATCGTTATAAGTAATGATTAAATGTTTGAAATTACTGACATTTAATCATTATTTATACTTTATAATGCATTTTTTGATTGTACAAAAAATGTATTAATTGAGACTTCTTGTCAAATTCGTAGAATCTAATGAAGAAATTAAAGTTCTAAAATTTAACAACAATGCTATGATGGATCTCATTTCATATTTAACTCGTGTTAAATTTTAAAAACGGCTATTAAAAGCGTGCACAAATTTTAAGAAATATGCTTTTCAATTTTTCTTCTTTGACACACTCAATAATTCTATCCGAAATAATTTTCTCAATTGCTTAGAAAAAGTTATGCTAATGATTGGATGATAGTGGCGGAATTTACTTAACTCATAGCTTACTTTTGAATAAATTTAATATAAGTAATAGTATTTTTTTGTTTGTATTTTAAATGTGTTGGAAAATATTACAGCTCTTCACTAATCAGAATTTGTTAAATGTTGGTGAAACAAATAATGGTGTAGCGCATGTAAAATGTGTACCAATAGTTGACGTACGTGATACGGATAATGCATGGACAGAGCATGATGTATGGGCGATTTTTGTTGGGTATATAATTGCTGAAACTTTTTTTTAATATAAATTTTTTTAAGATATAGTATAAAGGTGATTTTAGATGCTATATGAATAAATACTCGCTAATTTTTTTTTGCATTGTTAATTGCTTTGTTTGAGCTATTTCAAAATGAGTAATGTAATTTCTCGATCATTTATGGAAGTTCTATATCACTTATATTGTTTATTATAAATTTAAATTTAGGAACAAATTTAAATGGAAAAAATATTCAAGTTAATTTTTTTCATTACTGCTTTTTTATTATTTTCATTACTTAAATTTTTTTATTTATTATTGAACTTTTTTTATTCATTATTTTTAAAGGTCTCTTTCTTTTTTTTTCATTTGAGAATTTTTAAGATCAGAAGTACCTGAAACACTCCCAACATTTGGTACATCGAATTGGCAAAGTTGTAGTGGAAATGTTTTATCGATTCGTGATCGAGAATATCTCAATGCTTCCTTAGCATTCTTCGTTGATATTCAACAATGCAATATCACATGATGTTTAATTTTTATAAATTTAATATTGTTTAAAAATGAAAGTATATTGTTGAATGTATAACAAACAACAACAAAAAAAAATTCCACTAAATAAATGAATAAATTTTAGTTATTACATTCGAATGAATTTCAAATGCAAAATTATTAATATAAAATTATGACATTCTTCCCTCAATAATAGTTGATTGCTGGTATTTATTAGAATATTATATTTATTCATGAAATGATAATAAAGTGAAAGTTTTAAGTTTCAAAAGCTTATTATCGATCAAGATAGAAATAACAAAGCAAACTTTTAAAGTATATTTTGTTAACTTCATCAAAAAGTTTATTCATCTTCTAATTTTGCATTAACAAAAACTTTGAACCTGACCTTATCAGTCAATGCGGATTTTGTTCCGTTCCGGTTGTTTATTTTGTAAAAAGACGGTTGATTTCTATTATCTCGTGAATAGTATTATTCACAGATTTCCGATTTTTACGATGATATTTCAGATAAAACTTCCGGTAAGTATTAGAGGAATGCTATCAATAAACTATCATTTCTCAATTCGCAAAATAGCTATTACTGGATCCTTGTTGGACATTTCATGTTCTACAACTGAAATTAACGAATTGAATAATCTGTGATGAAAAATTCCGTTGTCAATTTTAGCTATTCCGGAGGAAAATCGGCATTTTTCGTTTTTTATATTATTTTATCGCATCCAGAAATGATGAGCAATTATTGAGCGAATATTGAGCATTAGGCATTATCCATACTGTTGAAATAAAATGAGCCTTCAAAAATGGGCCTTTAGAAATGAGCTTTTACTTTCCAATCAATAAATTAAGGCTGTTAGACATGTGAGAAAAATCAATTAAATAGAAGCTAAGGACATTCATCCATTTAGGCATTTTTAGGATTTCGTCAATAAAAGAAAGAGAGAGAGAGAGAAAAAAAATTGTGAAGAAAGGGAATTTTTCCCATTTCAAATTTTATAACTCAATGCAAAAACTTTTATCACTCTTTTAGTCTTTATATAAATTATAGGAAAACACACTTCAATAATTTTTAGTTATGCATAATTTCAATTCTTAAAATTACTTGAAAAATGAAATACTTTTACTCTCTCTATCTCTCTCTTTCTTTCTCTCTGATAATACTTTGATAAGATTAATAATTTGCACTGACTGTACATCATAGTTCCACTAGTTTTCTCTTTTTTTCAGTATTCCCAGTTAATTATTACAGTCGTTTTATAAGTTAAAACCAAAAAAATTTAATTCTTTGATAAATGAGTAAATTGATTTTGAATTTAACCAAATTTGTATTCCAATATTATGTTCTCAACTTTTGTAAGGTTAAAAAAGAAATCAACTTTTTTGAATAGGAAAGCTTTTTTAATTTCAAAAGCATTTTAAGTTAAATTTCACTTCATTGTTATCTTTATTTATTGTGCTTATATTATCGAAATTTTTACTATTTAAATGGTATATATGTGAAATTGCACTAACATTCTCTACATACTATCAACCGTGTTTAAACAAACTTTTTTCAAGAGGTTGATTTTTGTTTGAAAATTTTTGTTCAAATGAAAAAAGAAAGGAATTCATCAAAGAAATAATAGCAATTATATACACGTCAAACTTGAATTGAAAATTGAGAAAATTCAACACTTCAAATTATTGAAATTTAAAAATTTTCAATACTATCGAGTTTTTACTATTTTGCATAAGTTTTAGCATTTCTTAGGATGATTTAAATGTAATTTTTGATTTTTTTATAAATGTATACTTCACGAATTGCTTCTTCAATAATTTATATTTTTGTGAATTGGATGAAAAATTATTGAGTAATGTAAGATTTACATTTAGCAAAAAATCATGTACATTTACGAAATTTTCTCTAACAATTGCCATACTAGCATATATCGATATGTTAAAATTTCATAGAAATTTTCAGTTTATAAAGCTATTGGCTAATTTATTCAACAATTGTGGAATTGTTAAATTCTCTTGAGAGATCTCTCATCCAAGAAAATCGAAACAATGTTCTCATTCGTTTCCAATTTTATTACACCATTGGAGAGCGATTATTTTTCTTTTCTAATTTCAATTTTTGACAAGAAGCAAATGCGAAAGTTAACGAGAAATGCATTCAGTTCAAATCACAATTGCTTATTTGTTTTTTAAAAATGGCACAATTCTTTGAACTATAAAAATGAAAGTAAAATTTATGCTTATAGCGTAGCAATCTCACAAATCATTTTAATATTTTCATCTCGATTATATTAAAATAAAAAAAAAGATCGCTACTTAAGTCAATGAAAATTAACCGGAATTATTTTTAAACTTCAATGGAAATGATTTTTAAGATTGAAAAATTAACTGCGCGCTATTATGTCCCTAAAAAAAAAAGTAAAATGTTGAAATTTTTTTTTTTTTGATTTTATTCAAATTATTCTTATCCATCTTTTCTTCCTAAAAATTACTTATTATTAATATGTATATGCCTCTTTGTTCAAATTTTGTTCATCATACATGCTAAATGATATCGGAACAAATTTTACATTAATTTGAATTACACAAAAGTGATATGTTGAACGTGTTACGTGATTTAACGCGTCCATATTGTTTACATATTTCTATATTATGGAAGCGCAAATGTTATGAAACACTTAAAATACTGCTGAAACAATGCAATGTTTAAATTAGTTTTTTTTTTCTTTAATAATTACACAATTTATCACTCACTTACTTATTACTTGCTAAACTTTCTAAAAAAGTTCAATTTTAAAATAGGAAATTTCCAAAAGAATATTTTTGAAAAAGAATCCCTCACGCATTTCCGTATTCTTTCATTTGAAACATTTGCAAAATGAATGGATTAATCCTTAAAAAAAAAAATGAAATGAGAAATATTTGCCCCATTTGTCTATCATTCCATTTCCATATCAATTTTGCTTTTCTGTCTATTTATTCCAATAAAAATTTGTTCCGTGCATTATTCCTTATTCAGTTAGTAATAATCGATTTGTCTAGCTTGTCTTCAATAGTCATAAAATAAACCGGACTTGAATGTCTCTATTGAATTAGTTCAAATTTTAATCAAAAATTAGCACATTTCCAAGGTAAAATAATTTGAAGTGATCTGAAAATTTATTAATAGTTTAATCCTAATTACAATTTAATTTTGTATTAAATTTTTTTTTTCTAAATTATTAATATTTTTCCACATGTTAATATCGTTTGTGCATTTAATAAGATTCAATAAATAATCTTTCAAATTGATGACAGAGAGCAATTTTAATTTTTTTGATTGCATCAGTTAAATTTATATAATTTAATCCAAATATCCTAACCTTTCAATTGCAATTTTAATTTTTACCAAAAATTTTCATTCCATTTCCTCTTGTTATCTCAAGAAATATCGATGAAAGCTAATGGTAATTTTAAATAATTAAATCTCAAAGTAACTTTCCTACTTTTTAAAAAATTCATCGTTTCTCCTGAGTAAGTGTTAATTCAAATTTTTTTGTTTCATTTCCAAATGAATGAATGCATTAATTTTACAAACACACATCATCATTTTTTGCTCACCAGCACTTGAAAATATCCATGTTTTAAGTAATTGAATCTGAGTAATTGAATTGATGGAACAATGATGAATAAATAGTATTTCGGTGAATCTGCATCGCATCCTTTTTCTTTTTACTATCTTCATATTAGAACTGTAAGTGCGAACATTCGAAATTATCGTTGGATATTTTGTGCATTAGCACTTACCAAATTTCTTGACCTCTTCAATTGACCTTTTTCGATCTCTTTCTTCTTTGAATTCCCTTCACTTTATTAGTCTGAAATTAATATTCTACATTTCCTAAAAAAAAAAAAAAGAGAGAGAGTGAGAGAGAGAGAGAGCAAAAAAAACGAAAATTACGAATAAATTATTACATCGATGTAAAAATTTTTAGCAATATTAAATTAAAATTTTAGCCACATAAAAATTCGTTTAAAAATTGAACTCAAAAAATTTCAACCTACAATTTATTCAATTCTTTTATATTACTCTTCTTTAAATTTATTGTATAAGTAATTTCTCAAAATATACACTTTTCCATTTTCAATTTCAATTCTAATTTTCAATCAAATTTACCATTGAAAACGTTTTTTAGGATGCTATTTCTCTTTTGGCAGCCGGCAACAAACAAACATACCCTATCGGCAATTATATATATATGTATATGTATGTATATTGTATTGCTTCGGAAATCGATTTCCATTTTCCGCTTAACCCATCCGGCACCATTTTTATACTTCTATAATAATAGCAACCATGAATTATCCGTGCATTTTCCACCTTTAACATTTTCTTTTCCTTTCCGGTCAATGATTTTAAATAATTTGAATTCTACTTGTAAACTATTTAATTATCATATTTTTCTATCCATCTATTCATAGTTTTCTTTCTCTCTTTTGTTTTCTCTCTCTCTCTCTCTCTCTCTCTCTCTTTCATCCATTCTTAGCTACTTATTTGATCATTGATCTCTTTTTTTATTTATGTAATGAAATTTTTTATTTATTTCTTATCTGGTAAGAGATATGTGCTCTGTCGTCTAAATGTCTCCTATCAATATTAGACTTTAAAAAACGATTTCTTTCTTTCTTTTTTTTTTTCGCAAATTTTATCGAGCATGTTTTGCGTGTTTTTTTTTTTTTATATTTTCAATTATATGTGTAAATCTGTTTTGTTATTTTCAGTAATTGTATGCAGTGACGAAGAATTGAAGAGTTTATAATGTATAAATCGACAAACGATAAGGTAAATATATTCTTATCCTAAATTAATTTTATCAACTGTAAAAATAGTTTCATTATGATGAAATTCATTGATTGTAAATTAAATTTAAATTCAAATATATATTTGTTATTGCAAATGATCAGTTGTAAATTGGATTACCTCTATCCCATAAATTTTATTATAACATTAAGTAAATAATAATACGACATTTGCATCGA